TTTGTATTCTTATGAATCTAAATAAATAGAACATAGAACTTGGATATTGTAACAAGTACTATACTTTGAGTATTTCATTAGAGTGTTCATTAAGTGTTCATAGTTTTTTATATTCCTATGAAGGTAAATAAATAGAACATAGAACTTAGATTTCGTTTAGCTACTGGATATGGTAAAAGGTACTATACTTTGAGTACTCTTGTCAGAATATCCTAATATAATTGTTATTTATTACTGTTTATTTAATTTCGACCTTAGCGGTCTAAAAATGGATTTCACTTACAATTCCTTTCATTTACTCTTTTATACTTATCATATCTATCTTGTTGTCGTTGCTTAGTTGCCTAATTGTCCATTTACTCAACCTATTCTACTCTATTTTTACCATATTACTACTTAACACTATCGTTGGACTTGCCTGTGTTTTTTAAATTCCTCAGCCAATTTCTTCACAGTATCTTTCATCCTTCACTTTCTCCAGTCTGTCTCGCGGTCTATTTACTTCCCTCCATTCTTTATAGTAATGTATCACAGTTTCCTCCCCCTTTTCACACGACCTACAATTTCTTTTGCCTTCTTTTAGCCGCTTCTAACTACTCTAATTTATCCGAACATAATATTTCTCAGCAACGAATACCTTTTTCCGTTTCAAATATGCGCATATTTTATCAGCATTTTCTGTACAACGTATTCCTTCCACTGTTTCTTTCTGATGGTAAGAATTAAAAACAATTATTGCTGCTATAATTATTACAATTGTTGTTAATTATTAAAAGAATTAAAATTATCATACGACTAAAAACCCGAAAGCGGCGTAATTGCAACAGAATCAGCAAAGATACACGGCGTTGGAAAAGCTACGATCACAGACATCAGAAAACACGATACTGAGAATCATCCAAAACACGTAGATTCGTCAGAAGCTGGTAATGAGATAAAAAAAACCTTAAATATACTGACGCGATGAAATGGTTTCGTCGCGATAAAGACTTCGATAATTACGATTTTACACAAACGAAAAAATAATAATTTTCATACCGAAGCCTTCGTGACATTCGAAAAAGATGATCGAAGAATGTAACTCCATGCAATTGTTGCTTATGTTGAGAGAATTACGTGACTTAGCAGTCAAACTTATATAGCATCCATAAATATTTAAAGAAGCTGTCAATTAATCTTAATCTGTATTTGAATAAATGAGATTTCTCATCAAAAAAGTGTTCTGCTATCTCAAGATTTCATTATCCCAACTATTTTGTTTCTCTATTTAATAAAAGCAGGGCCGGTGTGACCTTTTGCGGGGCCTGAATACACATTGAAATCCTACACTTAAATTTTACGACGAGGAATTATTTATTTACAAATGCTGTTGCATATTATATATCGTTTATAAGCAGCTTTTTTAAACAAATCCAAGTAATATTTTGTCGTATGCATAACTCGCTTTCAAGGGGCAAAAAATTCAATGAAAGTAGAAAATCTGTGATCATGTATGACTTTTGCAAAAAGCTATTGACGTAGTTTAATTTCTCTGAAAGCGCGTGGATTTTTTTTTTACCTAAAGTAGTTTCCAGGATACGAGGACTTTACGGAGTTACACTGAACTTTCATGATTTTTCTCACTCCTTTAAACTGAATCATCGCTACTAGAAAAATGTCTTGCATCTGTTAATATCATCATTCTGTTAAACGTTAATCAAAATCAGTGTTTTTTAATTGGGTAATTTTCGTAGACCGCGGGGCTCCCAAAACGCGGAGCCGGGTTCCGGCGAAAAAAATTTTTTTTTTTAATTTTTCCATCGAGACGACGATCTACAGTGAGATCCATTCTAACGTACCGCACGCGTACCGAACGAAAATTCAAAGTCGATTTTCTCGAAAACAAAGCCTCAAACGAAAAATTTTTATTCTATATTTTCGACTTCTTTTTTCGCGTAGAATCACCCCTGTTCCGCTTGTACCACCAGTTACCAACCACCCTGTATATATACATATCATATATACATATTATATATTCATATATAAAGCTGACTATTTATTTATTTATTGATGCCTCGTCGTTCCTTTTCTGCGAGCTCTGCTTTTTGGATATTTTATATACAAATGAATTCTTTATTTCTGCTTATTTACTCTGCAAGATATATACCATATATATACACAAGATATATAGTTAAACGAGAAAAACAGGCATAAACTTTCCCACAAACAGAAACACATACACGATATTTCATATATTTTTGCACATTGGATACACTCTACGCATTTTTCATCTGCTTTGCATAAACGCACAAGTATCCACAGTCTGATAATAACATTGAATATCACGTGGAATTCTGCAAGTATTAGGCTGATAATTTTGAAGAGGAACATGCATCGATGCGAATGAAATTGAGAAAAACAAGAGACGTAATAGGTGGGTTGAGAAGAGAAGAATGTCGAAAGGAGAACGATCGACGTGCAATGACTGTGGGTCGTAAGTGACACGATCCAGCTTAGTTTGGAACGTTCAATGTCCAATGACTATTGTGCTGTGCTATTGATACGTGCATTTGCTATAAAATCAAATATTTGTTTTTTTAAATTTAATTTTCTATTTTGTTAGCGTATTTTTTCATCTAACGCAGTACCTGTTACAAAAATATATTATCATTAAAAATTATACAGATATATATATAATACGATATTACACTATATGATTTATTTAAATAAAAATGACATTTTTACGAGGCGTACGAAGATTAACTGTATATTTCTCTCTAATTATATTATAATCACATTGTAGCTATAAATATTATAGTAGCTTTCATTTCACGAAAGTGCCGTATTATTTATTTATTGTGCCGTAGTATATTTTTTATTACATTAATTAAATGGCAGGGAACAAAAGAAAACGGTCGTTTACTATGAATTTATCGGTGCGGTAAATTTATGCGTAAACGAACAGGCACGCCTACTTTCATAGAAATGGACAGGAGCCTGATAAGAACAAGAAAATACGGAGATCGCGTTGTTAAATAGATGACATTCGTTTGGCTCGAGATAAGATGGCGAAAACGTGTAACAGCATCGGCTTGTCTTATCGCGGAACGAACATCTCTCGTGTAAAACGTATCAATTAAAAAATCAAACATCTCTCTCTTGCTTCTAAAGTAAAGTCACGTCGGTTTAATTTCCCGTTAACTGTGTGTATCGTCGGTGAGCAAATCGATAAGCCGAAGTCGGCAAATTCACGCACAATAGCACCTCTCCACCGTTATAAAACCTTAAGACCAAGCCATCATTAAATATATCGATTCACCGAGATATTAACCATGATTAAACATTATTATTCATTTCTTGGAATATTGATTAACATGCTCCGCGAACGATCGACCTTCGACTGAAGAGAACATAAAAACTATTATTAATTATGTACTTGTGCTGCAAGATAGCGATTAACACGATCCGATTAACACGAGAATTTGTTGGAAGAAAAACTGTTATGAAATATAAATCGGCGATTTCTCGTGAGCATTGAAACACTGTGTCTTGGCGAGATGTGATATCCTTCCACTGCTTTTGTTATTTGATTACTTTGTTTTTAAACATTGTTTTTAGAAATGTATTTAAAAATAGCTAAGTTGGCAAAGTTTTGTGAAAAACCAAAGACAAAACATTGAGGAAAAATGTTTTATTATCGATATTATGAAGAGGCAGTAGTTCCTGTTTACATTTGATATGTCAATATTATGTCAATGTTCTTAAAGTTGAGGAGAAAATTAAAAGGACTTTAGCTTCAAAAAAGAGGAGAACAATTGTGGCAAACATAGAGAGGATTAATTGAGAATGTACAGATTACACTCATATATATACTACTACGTAGACATTCTACTAAGAAGCATATAATACGACTATTACGTAGACATTCTACTAAGAAGCATATAATATGACTCTTAATATTCTGTCCCAAGTATTCTTCTTCTATATTTTTCACATGCATCGCCCCATTGACTTCACTAAAGAAATAAAATAGTCAAACTCGAAGATGGTATCCCGCTGAGGGTAGCCATCCACGTGTTATTTAACAATTAAGTTAACAAAATGTACAAAATGTCCAGCTGAACAAATTGTAAAGTACAAATTAAATAATAAAAAAAAACATGCATCACAAACGACCGACGTTCGAATAGAAAAATAAAACCCATCGTTAATTGTAAGGAAAAGATACTTTATTATTGAAAAACAATATTTCTTGTGTTTTTAACATTAGAAACACCACACCAGCCAAATTGACTGGTTTTACAATTTTATTTTAAAAATCCTACTTCGTGTTATATTTTTTTCCGCAATGATGTGAATGACTTTCGCAACGATAACTGAAAGAATAATATAATAAATTTTATTTTGTTTTTTATGTATTCAAACTGAAAATAATTTTGTATCAAGGCTACTTATACCAATAGCAGTCAAAATGACTGATACTTGTCAAAGCGTAAAAGGATCCTGCAATTTGTTTATCGAACTCCAGTTAACCAGTTTCCTCGTTTTGTACAACTTGCCACACGTTTTGAAAATTTTTATTGCGTATCATTCGATATGATGATATCAGTTATCAGGAAAATTCTAGATGCTAACACTAGAAATGCCACAGCAGTCAAAATGACTGGTTCTACAATTTTATAAATGTGTCAACCCTCGTTTAGGGATCATTGTCCCAGATGGATTAAAAATACCAAAAATGTACTAAATAACATGAAATTGCTTCTGTAAGAAAGTAATAAATTAATAAATATAAAAATATTCTATTATTACGTATTTGTTAAAAACCACTCATTTTCACTGGTTTTGGTGGAAATAGCTTCGTGTTAACTATCGGTAGTTCTACTGTTAATATATTGTCAATATTTTTAAAATTAGGAAGAAAGTTATAAGGATATGCATTTGTTTCAAAACCAAACAGGAGAATAATTGTAGCGAGCATAGAATTGATCGACAATGTACTCGACTTTGAAATGATTTTTCGCAGTTTCACGCATGATCGACGTTCGCCTAAAAGCTTTCTCCAATAAATCCTGGCAAACATAGAATTAATTGACAGTATACTCGACTTTAAAACTGATTCCACGTAAAAAGCATAAGATGTGCAGATCGACGTTCGAATAAAAACTTTCTCCGATGAAACGTATTGTCAAAAACGACGCGTTGGTTAACGTGCTTCATCGACGATCGATGTTTGAACGAACGCACAGTAGAAAAAGGATCTTTGGTGAAGAGACAGTGGAGAGTCGACTGGCTGAAGTTGCGCGATGCATTTTCCCCGAAGAAGGTATCGGATAAAATCGAACAACGCCGGATTGCGTTAAACGAGACGATCGCAGCGAATGACAGAAGGTGGGAAAAATATTTGACAAACGCAAGGAACGGACGATATCCGCTCGGTCTGCTTCCTTTCTCACCTTGCGCAGCCATCTCGACTCGGCTGGTCGAGCTAACGGAACCATCCCAAGACGTTTTGTCCATCTTTTCTTTCGACCAACCGGCCGCCTCTAGAGAGTTAGGCTGCAGCTACATAACATACCGAAACAGCTGACCGACAACCGGTGACCGGCCTTTCTATAGCGTGTAAGTATGCGTACAGAAGACTATACACTGGCGCTCGTGAATATACGTGGACAGTTTGGTCGATTTGCAATAAAAGTAGACCGCGGGTGTCCATGCAAATTAATATTGTTATAAACTCGACCAAAGCAGCGCAACTCCAATGAACATTCGTTTCGCTCTCTAAATAGCGACAACGAATATTTTACTTTGAATATATTGTACACTTTCCCTCTGCGTCTCTGCACAATGAATTCTTTTGATACAATTTGATATTATATATGTCGGAGATGAAAGGACATCGGGGCCTTTCTTTTGGAATTTTTGAGAAGACCCCCAATACTTTAGTCCAGACTTTTCATTATAGCGATACTTGAATAATAAAACTTAGAAGTAGTTGTTTATGATTTAATCCGATTATGTGTGTCCGAGAATTATGACAATAGGCTTGGGCTCGATGTGACACAACTGGTCGCCGAACGTAGCCACGGTCACGGGATGAACGTTCTTACCTAACAGAGAAGTGCCAATATTGTGGGACACACGTTGTATTAACAATCAAACCCCGGGCAGGAGCAATGTCAGCTCTACGAGGGTCTGCCTAGCAACGGTGGCTGCAATTTTGTTGGTATCCCCGGCCAATATGCAACGAACAAACGCGATCATAAGGAGAGGAAAATTTCCATCAGTCTTTTATTCTTGCTATCACCTTGGAGAGTTTTCACATCGTCTTTACGTGCATTATTAAGGTTTACACATCGTCTTTACGTGCAGTATTATACCGAGCGTCACAGCAAACGTTACTTTGTGCTTCAAAATATATTCTACATTTTTAACCCTTAGAGTGCTATGGACGCATATATGCGTCTGGCGAAAGCTATCGGTGTGGACTAAGAACACATATATGCGTTTTCTGTAAGTGTCCGGCATGGACCAAGGACGCATATATGCGTTTGTCAATTTTTCCGAACACCTACGCAGAAGTAATACTATTACGTTTGTGCGAGATAAATATAAATGCAATCCTTATATATAATGCATATATTTTATATCAAAAATCTACTGCTTCGAAACAAAAATTTAGTGAATTTCATTTAGCGTTGATAAGAGACATTTTACGAAAATATTTCCAACGTAGAAGCATGGTAGGAGGAGGAAAGAGAAAGTCTGAGAATTTACCATTTCGTTTAATCGATAGGCATTTTCCATTAAAATGCCCTAATCGTGCCGGCACAGCATAATTATCAAGAAGAAAATGTGTCGTTTGTGTGAAAAATAAGAGAAGGAGCGACACGCGATACGAATGCAGAAAATGCGATGTCGGATTATGCATGGATAATTGTTTTGAAATTTTTCACACACAACTGAATTATTAACCCGTGTTATATTTACTAAATTTAGTTTTCTAGTTTATCGTTTTCTAGTTTATTACCCAAATTCTATTTTAATTTAAATTTCAATGTTTATAATAAATAATTAATACTAAAAACTAACGCTCTTGAATCATTTAATCTCGTACAAAAGAATTATTATAACTTATTACGATTTGCGCTTCGAATAGTCAATCAACAGAGTTCAATCTAGCGAAAAAGCATAGGCTGCGAGTATTCAGCACTCTAAGGGTTACCCCGTTGACCGTGGATTCGTTATTGAACCTAAGAACATTATCACTAACATCTCGAGTATTTAATCACCATGGTTAATTGTCAAACTTTGTAAAAATCAATATTTATACCAGTAAATATAATCTCTATTGTACAACAACGATGGCTAGTCCGAATGAAGATTCGTTACACGCCCATAAACCTAACGCTAACCCGACATGTATATGTAGTATCGTGGACAAGGGGCCTGGCAGTTGTCGTGCGGATTGTAAACAAGCGGTTGCTGAGGTGTAAATTATAAACAAGCGGTTACTGAGGCTAAAACAAACGACAAGAGGTTGCTGCTAGCGGACAATAAACGAATTAACAGCAGTATGAGTTGAGAAGTCGGAGAGTGAGGACTGCGTTGTCGAGATAGTGTTGTTAGAGTTGTTGAGAGACAGTTGAATCTGTGTTGACGACAGTTGTTAATTAATTATCTGGTTGTTTTAATTATTATAGGTTGTTGCAATTAGTTCATGTTAAATAACTATTGTTTTCTGTTTAATTAACATCCGTTTAATCCATTTATCATTAATAAACTAATCATAATTTACGATACTATATATATGACAAAGATACATATAATGATATATAATAACATATATATGTAATAATAATAATAATAAAAATATATATAAGAAACAAGAAGAAACTGTAGGATTTAACAAGAATTTGCACGTTGCTTATTGAAATATTTTACAAACCCGAATCATTTTCATAAAAATAAACAAACAATGCCACATAAATGCTCAAATATCAGATCCTTAATCTGACAGCGAACATTTAACAGAGAATTAACACGCAAAATTTGTAAATTTGCAAGCTTCGTAAGCTCCTCTCGTTCGAATATCTGAATATCTGCCAGCGCAGTTTCTCCGACATCTAAAATTGTAAAACGTTAATAAAATATAATTTTCAAATATAAATTATATTACTATAAAACGTCCTTGAAAAATTTCCCAAAAATTGCGATAGTATTCGATGAGAGGCCGAATGGACTCTGGAAGAAAATACACGCACGTTATGTGTAACTCATCGCAAACTTCGACGATTAATGGGTCAGCGGCGTACGGTAAAGGCGTTTATATGCTGCAAAACCTGTAACTTCTCTTATTTACTCTGCGCCAAGTACCATTGAACGCGGGTATGATAAATATTCGGGTAGATCCAGCCAGACTTCCGCATTCTCTTTAGCCCCAGTCCTGGCCGCAGAATTCGAGAGATGCCTGAACTGCTTCGACTGCTGCGTTCGTGTGTTAATGGGCGATCGACTAACAACGACAGCAAGTGACTTTTATGCACTTTTTCTGGACTATCAACTACATGGGACTAGAGTTTCTTCGTATGAAACTAGATAATCTTCAAGTAGAAACGTAATTCTTTTATTTCAGTTTTTCTTATTGTTTATTCTGGATCATGCGAGTCTTGCGATCATCTTTGACGAGGTAATTGTAACGTCAATTCACATCAGAGACCAGGCCACTGTCACAGATGAAATTCGACTAAACAAAGCGATAAGATAGCGAAATTCCAAGCGCCTTAGCATGAGTGATCATCGGGATAACATCTGGGCACTCTATTCGTTTTCAGAAATATATGATTTCCTTTTCCCACTCCCACGAATAAAAGAATTGAAATACTCCCCCTAAAATCATCCAAGACGTGACATACCTCCAAATTCAATAACTTCATTTCTTTCTTTCGCTTCTAAAAAAAATCACAGAAAGACCCTGTTTTAGAACACTCTAATTCAGGACACCTCCTTAAGTGACAAAATTGCGTCACAGCGTTTGACATTCACGAACACCATTTCTTTTATCGCATATTTAACTTTTAAAGGTAAATACATATATAATAATAATTGAAATAAAAAATCACGTTCGTACTGGTAGATTATATTGTCATTTTTTAACGATTATATTTCTAAAGATTATATTTACATGTATTAAATTCGCATAACTACTACTTAATCTAAACAATTCATAGAAATCGAGTTGAAAAAATCGTTAGACGTACGGACCTAATGTTCGACTATTCTACTTTTTAAATGCGACAAATTTTCTCCATTTAAATCGAACGTCTGGTAGATCGTCGACAATATGGAAATACTCGGAGGAAAATCTGAATGGCTTCAACGTGAAAGTCTTTTAAATAAAACCGTATATTTCTTAATCCATTGATACATTCGTGTGCATCGACTCACGAAACCGTATAAAACTCTTATGCATATGTTATACGCGTTATATAAAACATTTAGAATCATCATGATTATATCGGTGATCGAAATCGATCTAAAAATATGTACACAATCGGTCACAAAAGTGTTCATACAGCTTTTAACGAAGAATAATTTTGTTAGGATTGAACCGAAAGACTTGAGCTTTTTTGGAGAAAATTAAAATTGATAGGAACAGAGATGAAGATAGTAAAAATCGTCTTGTACAATTTTTTTTTCTGGGCTTGTCACGAAAATTTAAACAACACATTTTGCATATTTATATCGGTTGTATACATTCTGAAAATTGTATAAAAATATATTAACGTTGCTACGAGCCGCGAACGATTAAAAATGGCAAAAATTGCAGTTTTTCGCAAATTTAAAAATCCCTACATCTTTCGATGTATATAACCGACATAAATCTAAAAAACGAACTTTCTACCTTTTCGCTACGAGATAAAAAAAGTTACACACGGTGACCTCCATTACTTTCATCGCCATTCCTACCGATCTCAATTTTCTCCAAATTTCTTTCACCCGTCATCCAGTGAACCAATCCTTCCAGCTTCTCAAGAAACCTAAAGTCATTTGGTCCAATTTCATCAAAGTTATCCTGTTTTATAAGGATGTACAAATACTTTAATGATGATAGAAATTACGGAAGACGTCTGTTAATTACAGAAGACACTTATTGCGAACGTTTATTTAGTAAAAGATTAGTATACGTCATGAATAGTCGTCTTAAGCGTATAATAAACGTCGAAGATGATTCCATCGAATGTTGAGGCTTGTTAACGTAATGTGGATAGTTGGCTATTTAAATACCTTTGTAATCTCCCTGAGTATATTACTTGCGTTAGATATTTATATTTTGTAATCTCTACACTGGCTTTCAGATTAATTTCCAACTTTACCGATATAAGCAGGATGGCCGAATCTCATAACGACGCTAATGTGAAGTTTTAGAATGCTTCGCGTAGCACGTAATATTATATTCATAAAGATGTGTGTGAACGTTGCAATACTTTCATGAGCCTTTGTATATTCTATATATATATATATATCAGTCTAGCGAAAAGCATTGTATGTATTGTAAACAATAAACCAATATACAATATACATACATCAGTCTAGCGATAAGCAATGTATGTATTGTAAACAATAAATCAATGTACAATATACATACATCAGTCTAGCGATAAACATTGTATGTATTGTAAACAATAAATCAATGTACAATATACATACATCAGTCTAGCGATAAGCATTGTATGTATTATAAACAATAAATCAATATACTATATATATATATATGAATATACATCAACATAAATACAATAAGTACAATGAAAAAACACAATATGAAGATGGACAGACTTGTTTCTAGCTTTCTAAATATTACAACTGGTGCTTCGCTTGTTTATGTGCATTTTTACACATTTGCACGCTCATTGCACGCTATACTTTTGCACATTATGTCCGTTTAAGTCGCCTACAAACACGTAAAAATCCCCAGTCTAGCGATAAACATTGTATGAGTATTGTAAACAATATGTCAATATACAATATATATATATCAATATACATCAATATAAATACAATAAAAAATACAATATGAAGATTTTCTACACGTTTGTACGCACATTGCACGCTATATTTTTGCACATTATGTCCGTTTAAGTCGCCTACAAACACGTAAAAATCCGCAGTCTAGCGATAAACATTGTATGAGTATTGTAAACAATATGTCAATATACAATATATATATATATCAATATACATCAATATATACAATATACAATATACATCAATATATCAATAAATACAATAAAAAATACAATATGAAGATTTTCTACACGTTTGTACGCACATTGCACGCTATATTTTTGCACATTATGTCCGTTTAAGTCGCCTACAAACACGTAAAAATCCGCAGTCTAGCGATAAACATTGTATGTATTATAATCAATAAATTAATATACAATATATATATATATCAATATACATCAATAGAAATACAATATGAATACAATAAATACAATAAAAAATACAATATAATTCAATATAAAATATATATACATTGTATA